ATCAACCGACGGATCCACCATCATATGAAAAGATAAACACAGTATGATACATCCGCACAGCAGAACATGACTCAGCCTTAAGAAGGGAGGGAGGCCGGGCGCGGTGGCTCACTCCTGTAATCCCAGCACTCTGGGAGGTCACGGTGGGTGGATCACCTGAGGTCAGGAGTTCAAGACCAGCCTGGCCAACATGGTGAAAACCCATCTCTACTAAAAATACAAAAGAGTTAGCTGGGCACAGTGGTGGGAGCCTATAATCCCAGCTACTTGGGAGGCTGAGGCAGGAGAATTGTTTGAACCTAGGAGGCAGAGGTTGTGGTGAGGCGAGATCATGCCATTATACTCCAGCCTGGGCAACGAGAGCAAAACTTTGTCTCAAAAAAAAAAAAAAAAAAAAAAAAAAAAAAAAAAAAACACTTCACAAAACTGACTCAAGAAGCAGTGAAAACTCGATAGAAGTAGTTTAAGCCCCATTTGGGACTACAGGCTCTCCGTCAGTATTTGGATTTTTTTTTTTTTTTTTTTCACGGGGTCTCACTCTGTTGCCCAGGGTAGAGTGCAATGGTGCCATCTCGGCTCACTGCAACCTCTGCCTCCTGGGTTCAAGCGATTCTCTTGCCTCAGCCTTCTGAGTAGCTGGGACTACAGGCATGTGTCACCTTGCCTGGCTAATTTTTGTATATAATCCCAGCTACTTGGGAGAGTGAGGCAGAGAACTGCTTGAACCCCAGGAGGTGGAGACTGCAGTGAGCTGAGATTGCGCCACTGCCCTCCAACCTGGGTCACAGAGCAAGACTCCATGTCAAAAAAGAAAAAATTGTATTTTTAGTAGAGATGGGATTTCACCACATTGGCCTGGCTGGTCATGAACTCCTGACCTCAGGTGATCTGTCCCCTTCAGCCTCCCAAAGTGCTAGGATTACAGGCATGAGCCACCTCCCCAGCCAGTATTCAGAAATTAATGGATGGATGGGTGGATGGATGGATGAATGGGATATTAGTCCGTTTTCACACTGCTATATAGAACTACATGAGACTGGGTGATTTATAAAGAAGAGGTTTGACTGACTCACAGTTCCTCAGGCTTAACCGGAAGTATGACTTAGGGGGTCTTAGGAAATTTACAATCATGGCAGAAGGTGAAGGAGAAACAAGGCATGAATGACTTCTCATGGTGGCAGGAGAGAGACAAAGAAAGAAGGAAACTGCCATACTTAATTTTTTTGGGACGGAGTTTCACCCTTGTTGCCCAAGCTCAAGTGAAATGGTGCAATCTCGGCTCACTGGACCCTCCCAGGATCAAGCAGTTCTCCTGCCTCAGACTGGCAAGTAGTTGGGATTACAGGCACCTGCCACCATGCTTGGCTTTTTTTTTTTTTTTTTTTTTTTGCATTTTTAGTAGAGATGGGGTTTCACCATATTGGCCAGGCTGGTCTCAAACTCCTGACCTCAGGTGATCCACCCACCTCAGCCTCCCAAAGTGCTGGGATTACAGGCATGAGCCACTGCACCTGGCCTGTCATACATTTTTTTTTTTTTTTTAAGACACTGTTCCTGTTTGTCACCCAGTCTGGAGTGCAGTGTTATGATCTCCACTCATTGCAACCTCTACTTCCCGAGTTCAATGGATTCTAGTGCCTTGGCCTCCCAAGTAGCTGAGATTACAGGCCATACCACCATGCCTGGATAAGTTTTGTATTATTAGTAAAGATGGGGTTTTGCCATGTTGACCAGGCTGGTCTCGAACTCCTGACTGCAGGCGATCGGCCTGCCTCAACCACCCAAAGGGCTGAGATTACAGGAAGGAGCCATCGAGGCTGGCCCCAGACACTTTTAAACTATCAGCTATTGTAAGAATTCACTCACTATCACAAGAACAGCACAGGGGAACTGCCCCCGTGATCCAATCAACTCCCCTAACAAGTGAGGATTACACTTTGAGATGAGATTTGGGTGGGTACACAGAATTAAACCATATCAGATGGATAAATGAGTAGACATATGAGTAGATACATGGACAGGGACATGGATGGATGGTTGGGTGGTTAGGTGGGTGGGTGGATGGATGGATGGATAAATGGATGGATGGATGGATGGATAAATGGATAGATGGATGAGTGGATGGATGGATGGATAAATCAGTAGATGGATGAGTGGATGGAGAGATGGATGGGTAGATGGATGAGTGGGTAGAATGAATGGATGGAAGGATGGATGAGATGGATGGATGAATGGATGGATGAGTTAATGGATGGATGGGTGTGTGGGTGGGTAGAATGGTCAGATGGATAAATTGGTAGATGGATGAGTGGATGGATAGATGGATGAGTAGGTGGAATGAATGGATGGAAGGATGGATGGATGGATGCTTGGATGGACGGTTAGAGGGATGGTTGGATAGATGGATGGGTGGAAGGATGAATGGAATGCAGCCTTGTTTAAAGGGGTGTCATTCTCTAATAACACAGGTTCCATTGCCTTGCAGCTTAAAGAGAGCCACCATATCTACTTTAACTGTGGATCTGGCAAACAAGGAAATTTCATGTGTGGATGTAAAGCCCCTGGTAGGTCCCAAATCTATGCTGTCTCATATTCGGTGTTGTAAGCGTTAAGACTCATAGAAGCTGGCCCCGAGGGGCTGGCTGAGCCCTTGTTCAGGGTCTGGAGATGGAGATGATCCTGTCCCTGTTGCTGGGATCACTGTCACCTCCCCCATCATTATCCCCCAGGGCTGCCTCCTCATACCATCCTAAAAGCATGTGCCTGTTTCTTGTTGGGTATCCCCAAAACTGTATCAGGGCAACTCAGGTAATGCACTTCTAGATGCTCCAAGAGAATAGAAGTCCACACATGGTCCACTGTTGAGCTTAGCAATGAATGTTCACAGCAGCATATTTCACAATGCCCAAGAAGCAGAGACCGGCCAGGCGCAGTGGCTTACACCTGTGGTCAGGAGTTTGAGACCAACCTGGCCCACATGGTGAAACCCCACCTCTACTTGGAAAAAAAAATTTAAGTAGCTGGGTATGGTGGCCTACACCTGTAGTCCCAGCTACTTAGGAGGCTGAGGCAGAAGAATTGCTTGAACTCAGGAGGCAGAGGTTGCAGTGAGCCAAGATTGTGCCACTGCACTCCAGTCTGGGCAACAGAGTGAGCCTCTGTCAATAAATTAATTAATTAAATGTTCTAGAATTAGAGGCAATGGTCACATTATTCTGTTAATGTCTAAAAACCACAGACCTGGCCAGGTACGGTGGGTGGCTCACACCTGTAATCCCAGCACTTTGGGAGGTAAAGGCAGGTGGATCACCTGAGGTCAGGAGTTCAAGACCAGCCTGGCTAACATAGTGAAACCCTGTCTCTACTAAAAATACAAAAATCAGCTGGACCTGGTGTCACGTACCTGTAATCCCAGCTACTTGGGAGGCTGAGGCAGGAGAATCGCTTGAACCCAGGGGGCAGAGGTTGCAGTGAGCCAAGGCTGTGCCATTGCACTCTAACCTGGGCTATAAGCATGAAACTATGTCTCAGGGAAAAAAAAAAAAAAAGAAAAAGAAAAAAAAAGCCCAGCGGTTGGAGAAGAGGGGTCTGACCTCATCAGGAGATCAAAGAAGGCCTCCCAGTGGGTGGGGAGTAGGAAGATCAGGAGGACTTCCTCTTAGGCTCAAGGAAACATGTGGACTCTGGAGACAGGATAGGGCACACGCAGCTCTGGCATGCTCAGGGGGACACGAGCCTGGGCCTGGGACACAGCACTCTGGCAGGATAGCATCAAGAGCTGCCCTCCCAGCCATCCAGGAGCTGTACCCTCGGTCCCCTCCTCCCCTAGGTGACAGCTCAGGTGTCGGAGAATGAGACTTACATGAGACGGGACCTGCCCTGGCTCAGATGCTTCATGTCCCACAGGAGCCAATAGCTCTTGTGGCAGCAGTCTAGGAACACAGTGTCCAGAGTCCCCTGAGGGGACAAGACACTGCACAGAAAGAAGTCCAAAGCTATGGCTGCCGACCAAGTATTCAGTCAATGGACACAGCTTCCAGCCCAGATGCAATTTGGGGTCATTTATTTTTTGAGATTGGGGTCTCTCTCCGTCACCCAGGCTGGAGTATAGTGGCGTGATCTCGGCTCACTGCAACCTCCCCCTCCTGGGTTCAAGCGATTCTCCTGTCTCGGCTTCCTGAGTAGCTGGGATTACAGGCATGTGCCATCATACCCAGCTAATTTTTGTATTTTTAGTAGAGACGAGGTTTCACCATGTTACCCAGGCTGGTCTTGAACTCCTGACCTCAAGTGATCTGCCCGCCTTAGCCTCCCAAAGTCCTGGGATTACAGGCATGAGCCACTGCACTCAGCCTAGGGGTCATTTTTACCACAAGCAGTATTGTCTGGGAATACAGCTGATGCGCCACCTTATCGGAAGGTTAATCCTTTATCCTGAAGGGGGAATGAGTGGAAGTTAAAATTAGGCTAAAATATTAAACTCAGATTAGGAGGAGTGGACATGGTATCTAGGCAGTGAAAACAAATGCAAAGACCCTGAGGTGGGTGTGCTCCTGGAATGTCTGAGGAACAGAAAGGAGGCCCGTGTGGCTGGAGGAGAATGAGCATAGGAGGACACGTGTGAGACGTCATAAGGTCAGAGAGGTCCCAGGAGCAGTTCACACAAGACCTTACAGAAATACCTGAGGTGGGACAGATCACTTGAGGTCAGGAGTTCGAGACCAGCCTGACCAACATGGCAAAACCTTGTCTCTCCTAAAAATACAAAAATTAGCTGGGCATGGTGACATGTGACTGTAGTCCCAGCTACTCAGGAGGCTGAGGCAGGAGAATCACTTGAACCCGGGAGGCAGAGGTTGCAGTGAGCCGAGATTGCACGACTGCACTCCACCCTGGGCAACAGAGCAAGACTCTGTCTCAAAAAAAATAAATACACATAAATAAACAACAAAGGAAGTGAGAATATATCGTGAGTGACTCTAATAAGGTTTGAACGTGTTCTTAGCTACTGATGGCATTACTACCAACCAGCTCAGTGATGTTGCCTTCTCCGGCCAGGAAGGCCTGCACTTGTCCCCTGGGGCTCACCTTTCTGTACACCAGGCCAGTGATGACAGACTGCAGCCTTATCTGCAGCACCTTGAGCCGGTACGTGTTCTGCTGCTTAAACAGAGTTTGCAGGCAGGCCAAGAGGAACATCAGCACGGCAAGGAGGTAGCCCTTCCAGGCTGGAGGCTTGGGATCACCAATAAACTCCAGGAAAAGGCTTGCAGGGGAAGGAGGGAGAAGGTACAGCTGGTGAGAGGAGGGGCCCATGTGTGTTGCCTTTGCCCAAACGAGGCCAGGTGTGGAGGATCAGTTGGCGTGGTTGACTTTTTCAGCAATCATGATCTCGGTTATTTCCTCCGCTGTCCATGCTTCTTTTCAATCTGACTGCAGCTCCTCAAGATCAAGAGATGGCATTTTTGTCCCCACTTGTTATGGACTAAAAAATTGTGTCCTCACAAAATTTGTATGTCGAAGCCCCAACCCCCAGTGCCTCTGAATGTGACTGTATTTGGAAATAGGGCCTTTAAAGAGGCAATAAAGTTAAAACAAGGTCATTAGTCTGGGCCCTCAGCCAGTCTGACTGGGGTCCTTATAAGAGGAGAAAATGCAGATGCTCAGGGAGACACCAGGGTTCACACAGAGGAAAGACCATAGGAGGACACAGGGAGGAGGTGGCCAACTGCACACCAAGGGCAGAGGCCTCAGATGGAAGCAACTTGCAGATACCTGATCTGGAACTTCCAGCCTCCAGAATCATGAGAAAAATACATTTCTGTTGTTGAAGCTACTCAGTCTGTGATGCTTTGTTACGGCAGCTGAGCAGACACCACTTGAATCTGGGCTGGCTGCAAAACCACCTTTGACCAACAAAGTATGGTGGAGGTAAAGCTACGCATGCTCTGAGCTTCAAGAGAAAATGTAGCTTTTGGCCTATTGCTTAGAACCCTCCCAAGCAGCCACGTGAACAAGTCTGAGCTAGCTTTTTGAAGGATGGGAACCCACATGGAACACAGACAGCCATCCCAGCTTCAGATACACAACTGCAGGCACATGAGAAAACCTAGCTAAGAAAAGACAAACCACCCAGCTGAGCCCAGCCAACATTACTGACCCACGTTACCATGAATTAAATAAATGAATGCTTGTAATTTTAAGCCACTCACTTTTGGAGCATTTTATAGCAAAAGCTAATTGATGCAGTCCAGTAACAGCTTGATTATTTGCCCTTCTGGGGGTCAGTCACTTTCTCATTAATCATTTCCTTTCCTCAGTATCCTTCTCACCCACCCTCCAGCGTCCCGAACACCAGATCTATAGGCAGAGGCAGAAGAGCTGAAGCCCCCTGACCCTGGAGGGATGCCATTAAGAGACCACCAGCCTTAGCAGAGCTCCTGAAGTCTGGACTCACCTAAGCAGCTTGGGGACAGTGAACCTGAAGACATCACTGATGAAGAGGCTGTGGGTCCCAGGAGGAAGGTAGAATGGAACACCCGCCAGATGGCCCTCAGCAGTGGGCCCCACTGGCTCCCTTCTTGCCACAGGAAGGGCTCAGTCTGGAGCCTCCATGCCACTAGCCTCTTTTCCTTCTAAACACTACTGCCTCGGCGTGCCTTAGAGGAAGGAAGAGGTTGGCTTTAGGTCCCATTTTATACTCTCAACCACCCACAGCAGGACCAGGCATTAAAGGCTTGTTTTCCTAACAATGGGCGTGGGTGGGTGTGGATCCAGCCTGGCTCCCTCACCTGTGCCTCCTTATCACCCTGAGTACCCATTTAAGAGGTAGCCACAGGAGTTGTGGGGGAAGGGCAGGAGGGCAGCCCTGAGGCCTCTCAGACGGCCATGGGAAAGCACACATGTTGAGCACCTACTATGCGCCAGGCACTCCCCAGTCATCCTAAGACCCCCGGCAAGCCAGATGTTGTTCCCATTTCACAGATGAGAAAACTGAGGCTCAGAGAAGCAAATTTGTCCAAGGGCACACAGCTGAGAAGTAAAAGCTGGGATTCAATTCCATCTCTCTGCCTCTAGACCCCATGCATTTTTTCTTTTTTTTGAGATGAAGTCTCACTCTGTCACCCAGGCTGCAGTGCAGTGGTGTGATCTCGGCTCACTACAACCTCTGCTTCCTGGATTCAAGTGATTCTCCCACCTCAGCCTCCTGAGTAGCTGGGATTACAGACAAATGCCACCACGCCCAGCTAATTTCTGTATGTTTAGGCGATGGGGTTTCACCATGTTGGCCAGGCTGGTTTTGAACTCCTACCTCAGGTGATCTGCCAGCCTCAGCCTCCCAAAGTGCTGGGATTACAGGCGTGAGCCACTGCACCCGGCCTCCCATGTACTTTTCAATCTATCATGTTGTCAACCTGGAGGAAGAACAGCACCCCCTCTTCCACATGCACAACCAGCCAGCCCTTAGCTTGTTTTGAACAAGTGGAGAATCACAGCTGATGTGCATGGGGCCTGGTGCTCTGGCTCTGGGTGAAAGCACAGACAGAGCCTCAAACTCATAAGATCCCCAGCCTTTGGCCATAACTGGGGCCACAGAGAAGAGCTAAAGTGAGGAAGGGAGAGGAGGTGGTACGGGGAGGCCCAAGGGCCCCTCCAGGGCAGGTCAGAAACCCGGGGCCATAATGGAGAGGCTGGGGCTATGCAGCTGCTGACAGCCGGCTGCTGTGTGGTCCTGGGTAGGTAGACTGCTCCCCTCTCTGTGTGTGAGAGGATGGGTGTGGTCTCCCCTCTGAGTCCCTCGTGTGCCTCTGACAATCTATATGGTTACCCATAATTGCTTGCTTGCTTTTCTGAGACAAAGTTTCACTCTTGTTGTCCAGGCTGGAGTGCAGTGGCATGATCTCGGCTCACTGCAACCTCCATCTCCCGGCTTCCAACGATTCTCCTGCCACAGCCTCCCAAGTAGCTGGGATTACAGGCACCCACCACCATGCCCAACTAATTTTTATATTTTTAGTAGAGATGGGGTTTCACCACGTTGGCCAGTCTGGTCTTAAACTCCTGACCTCAGGTGGTCCACCTGCCTTGGCCTCCCAAAGTGCTGGGATTACAGGTGTGAGCCACCATGCCTGGCCACTTATCAGTAATTTCAATCCCCATTACAAATCTGTGACCCAGGACCACGTGCAGAGATCAGCTCTTTACACGAAGGAGCTCACTGACTTCCCTGGACCCCCTTGCCAGGTGGGTATTGTTAGGCTTTCCATTTTACAAAAGGGGAAAGAAGCTGAGGCTCTGGGAGATGGCAATAGCAGCCCAAGGTCACACAGCAAGGGCAGAGCAGGGATTGGAGCCTTGATCTTGGCTTATGGTTCCTAGAGTGTTTCTTATGCACTAAGGACCCCCAACCCCACAACAATAATAATAGTTTAAAAAGAATCATAACAAAAATCCCCTTGTGAGCTCGGGTGGCAAGACCCTTGCAGGCCATGGTCTTTGTCCCTCATTGCTGGCCTGATCTGGTGTTTGGTTTGGCATCTATGGAGGGGTGTGGCTCAGCTCTGTTACTGAGTGGGCATGGCCTGCTGCTCACAGGTTTTGGCATTTGGGTCTCAAAGCCAAGAAGATGCCCCTTCCATGCAGAGAGCATCCCTGACCGCCCTTCCTGTCTGACCCCACCATTTCATTCATTGCCTTCACAGCCTTGCCCACGGCACCAACCCTCTCTTTGTCTTGTTAGAACCCCAGGTGGGTAGACTTTGCCTGAGTTTTCTACCAAGATGTCCCTAGTATCAAGTCCAGCTCCTGCACACAGTAGGAGCTCAATAAACACTTGTCCAACGAATGGGAAAAGCAGACTGAGTGATATGTGTAAAAGGGCCTAACAAGAGTGCCCAGCACATACTGTTATAAACATTTATAGAAGAAAGGATGGAGCCTGGCTGGGTGGACAGAACTTGGCTTTGGAGCCAGGAGACTGTGGTTCCAATGCCTGCTGTGTCTCCTCTCCTCTGAGCCTTAGTGTTTTCATCTGTAAAATGGGGTCAGGGAAGAGTTAACTGGGAAGTTTTCTTTCCAGACCCAAATGCTGGAGATTTTGCTCAGTTCTGTTCCAGCTGTTTGCCTGGAGACTCACTGTGTTCAGCCTGCAGGCTCCACAGCAGGCATTTTCCTCTCCTGGAGGTCTCACCTCCCATCAAGGAAGAGGTCCAGATTGCTGCCTGATGTCTGGTCTCTGGACTGAAGGCCATTTAGTGCAGGACTCACAAATGACCGTGGGGCAAGGCAGAGGGTATGCATGAGTGGCATGGGCAAGGTGTGAGTTGGGGATACAAAAGAGAGTGGTGGAGGCCGGGTGTGGTGGCTCATGCCTGTAATCCCAGCACTTTGGGAGGCCGAGGTGGGCAGATAACTTTAGGTCAGGAGTTTGAGACCAGCCTGATAACCTGAGCAACATGGAGAAACCCAACCTCTAATAAAAAATACAAAAATTAGCTGGATCTAGTGGTGGGCGCTTGTGGTCCCAGCTACTTGGGAGGCTAAGGAAGGAGAATCATTTGAACCCGGGAGGTGGAGCTTGCAATGAGGCAAGACAGTGCCACTGCACTCCAGCCTGGGTGACAGAAGCAGAGAGGAGGGAAGGAAGGAAGGAAGGAAGGAAGGAAGGAAGGAAGGAAGGAAGGAGAGAAGGAGAGAAGGAGGGAGGGAGGGAGGGAGGGAGGGAAAGAGCAAAAGAGAGAGTGAGAAGAAAATAAAGAGGTGGGGACTGTGGCTAACTGAAATCTGCACACCTTGTCAAATGCTGTAGACTCTACCTGAATCCAGTCTCCTACTGTCTTGTGAAGATGTGGCCTAGTGTTGCCACAACTACTTTAAGAGAGTCCAGAATTCCAGATTTTTATTTATTGGCATTTCTATTTATTTTTTGAGACAGAGTCTCGCTCTGTTGCCCAGGCTGGAGTGCAGTGGAGTAATCTTGGCTCACTGCAACCTCCACCTCCCAGGTTCAAGCAATTCTCCTGCCTCAGCCTCTCCAATAGCTGGGATTACAAGCATTCACCACCACACCCAGCTAATTTTTGTCTTTTTAGTAGAGACAGGGTTTCACTATGTTGGCCAGGCTGGTCTCGAACTCCTAACTTTGTGTGATTTGCCTGCCTCGGCCTCCCAAAATGCTGAGATTTCAGGCTTGAGCCACTGCCCTCAGCCTTGGATTCCAGATTTTTATGTGATCTCTCCAAATTTTTAAATATTGGCAACTTATTAAAAAACAAAATAATGCAAACAACCATAAAGCCCATGTGCACCAAATATACCTTGTGAAGCTGACCTGACCAGCAGGTGGCTGTTGCGTGACCTCTCAGGAGGATGCCCTCTCCCTTCACCCAGTGGTTGAAAATATTTCAGACAGAAAACCAAAGTTCTCTCTGGGTACAGTCAGTTGGCTCAGAAGCTGATGGACCTGGTCTTTGTATAACCCCATCCCTCCCCTTTCTTTCTGTCAGTTATTTATGGGAGGATTCTCAAACTGCTCTGGAGACTGTTTCTACCTTTTAATTCTAGTGTTGGGTGGCCTGTAATTTTCAGGTTGGTTGGGGATGCCAGGAGTTGGCAGAGGCTTATTCCAGAGCCCCTATGGACTGAACTCTGCCACTTCTATAAAGTCATTTAAAAGTAGAGGATGAGGCAGGCACAGTGGCTCACACCTGTAATCCCAGCACTTTGAGAGGCCAAGGCAGTTAGATCACCTGAGGTCGGGAGTTCAAGACCAACCTAGCCAACAAGGTGAAACCCTGCCTTTACAAAAACTACAAAAATTAGCTAGGTGTGGTGGCAGGCACCTGTAATCCCAGCTACTCAGGAGTCTAAGGCAGGAGAATCGCTTGAATCTGGGAGGTGGAGGTTGCAATCAGCCAAGATTGTGCCATTGCACTGCAGCGTGGGTAACAAGAGTGATACTCTGTCCCCTCGCCCCCCCCCAAAAAAAAGAATATGCTGGGTGTGGTGGCTCACACCTGTAATCCCAGCACTTCGGGAGGCCAATGCAAGTGGGTCACTTGAGGTTGGGAGTTTGAGACCAGCCTGACCAACACGGAGAAACCCCCTCTCTACTAAAAATACAAAATTAGCCAGGTGTGGTGGTGCATGCCTGTAATCCCAGCTACTTAGGAGACTGAAGCAGGAGAATTGCTTGAACCTGGGAGGTGGAGGTTGCAGTAAGCTGAGTTCTCACCCTTACACTCCAGCCTGGGCAACAAAAGCAAAACTCCGTCTCAAAAGAAAATTTAAAAATAATAATAACCACTTACACTCATTATGTGCCAGGCCCTGTTCTAAGTGCTTTGCAGGCCTTATCTTATTTAATCTTCACAACCCTATGAGGTAGGTGCTATTATTAATCCTTTTGAAGGAATGGAGACTGAGGCACAGAGAGGTTAAGTAACTTGCCCAAAGCTACACAGCTAGGAAGTGGTAGGGCCAGTAATCAACTCCACATGTCCGGTACTTCTGAGGTCTGAATGCAGTGTGCCCAGGAGGGGGCACATCTTCAAGTGCCTGCTGAGCTGGCTGTGGAGAGGCAGCTGGTTCCTCCATCTGCCTGGAAACCTCCAGAAAGTAGACACTTGCTCCTTTATCTCGTCGCCCCTGGTGCTTAGCATATAGTAGGTTCTTATTAAATGCCGGTGGAATGACTGAAGCCAATTTGATTACTATTAAGTACCTGCTGTGTGCCAGCACTAAGCACTTTCCCACTCATGAAGATTGAGTCTTCCCCATTTTACAGAGGGGAAAACTGAGACTCTGGGGATTTGTGACATGGCCTGCTAAAAGGCAGAGGCAGGATTCGAATCCAGATCTCCAGCAAGTAAGTGGGAACAGGATGCCGATGGTGGACACGGAAATGAAGAACAGAAGAAAGTGCCAAGGCTGGGATGGAGAAAGCCTGGCTGTCCTTTGTGAGCATGGGGGGAGCCTTGTAGGGGAATAGCCATGGGTGGGAATCAGTGTAGAAAATGCAGGTGGGTGAGGCACCCCCCAACACTTCCCTGAGATGTTACTTACCCAGAAACCCACCAGAACATGGCTTTGGAGGGGGAAGGATGCCCCTGCCTCTGGACAGGGGTTCTGTAACTGACAAAAGTGGAGAATGGGGAAGCCTTGGTCTCACATCCCCTGGTGAGTATGTGGGAAGGGTAGGGAGACAGGATGAACTGACTTTGTATTTTTTTTTTTTTTTTTTGAGACGGGGTCTTGCTCTGTCACCCAGGCTGGAGTGCAGTGGTGCGATCATAGCTCACTACTGCCTTTACCTCTGAAACTCAAGCAATCCACCTGCCTCAGCTTCCACAGAGCTACTCTGTAGTGGGACTACAGGTGTGCACCACCACATTTGGTTATTTTTTTAGAACTTTGTAGAGATGGAGTCTCGCTACATTGCCTAGTCTGATCTAGAACACCTGGGCTCAAGCAGCCTCCTTCCTCAGCCTCCCAAAGTGTTGAGATTAGAGGCATGCTCCACTGCACCCAGTCCATCTGAACATGTTTATCTGATGTCAGATCAGTCTCTTTCTCAAAAGAATTATTTGATTTCAGTGTTACCTGTTTAAAAGTCTCATGAACTTCTCCGACAGAGCACTTACCCCAGGGATAATTTTCTTCCCTTTTTTTTTTTGAGATGGAAATTTGCTCTTTGTCACCCAGGCTGGAGTGCAATGGCGCAATCTCAGCTCACTCCACCTCCACCTCCAGGATTCACCTGCCTCAGCCTCCCGAGTAGCTGGGATTACAGGTGTGTGCTATTATGCCCAGCTAACTTTTGTGATTTTAGTAGAGACAGGTTTTACCGTGCTGGCCAGACTGGTCCTGAACTCTCGACCTCAGGTGATCCACCTGCCTTTGCCTCCAAAGTGTTGGGATTACAGGCATGAGCCACTGTGCCCAGCCAATTTTCAACATATTTAATTATGTGAGTAACGTCTGGTTCCCCTACTTGACCACTAGCTACACGAGAACAGGAACTCTATCTGCTTGTTCACCACAGATCCTTAAGCCCTTGCTGGGGGATAGAGGGGGTCTGCAAACTATGACCAAATCTGGCCCACTGCCTGTTGCTGAAAATAAAGTTTTATTGCAACACAGCTATGCAATTTGTTGACATATTCTGCTTTTGTGTTCAGTGGCAGAGTTGAGGAGTTGCCGCAGAGATCACTGTATGGCTCACAGAGTCTCTTGCCCCATACAGAAAAAGTCTGCCAGTGGTGGCATCGAGTAAAAATGCAATTCACAGTTTGCTGAGTGGATAAATGAACAAAAAATTAGACTTCCGGTCACATGAGGGAGACTGAGATCTCAAAGTGGAACAGGAATGAGGTTGGAACTTGGTGACTTTCAGACTGCTGAGGGTCTTTAGGTTAGAAGGAAGGTTGATCCGCAAGGCAGGACAGCACAAACTGTACCATCACTAGAGACAAGCACAGATAGGTGGACAGGTGGCAGACCGGGTCACTCTGGAAGCCCTGTGGGAGAGAAAGCAGAAGGTAAGACATGGAGACAGAGGAGGGTGCTCAGAGGAGAGAAGAGGTTTCTGATGCCAGAGCCTGTGCCCATGCTGGGGACCAGGGCAAGAGGATTTGAAAGCCAGAGCCCTGGCATTCCTAGTGGTCCTCATTTTCTTTTCTTTTTTGAGACCGAGTCTCGCTCTGTCATCTAGGCTGGAGTGCGATGGCGTGATCTCGACTCACTGTAACTTCTCCTTCCCAGGTTCAAGCGATTCTCCTGTCTCAGCTTCCCAAGTAGTTGGGATTTCAGGTGCACACCACCATGCCTGGCTAATTTTTATATTTTTAGTAGAGATGGGGTTTTACCATGTTGGCCAGGCTGGTCTCAAGCTCCTGACCTCAGGTGATCCTCCCGCCTCGACCTCCCAAAGTGCTGGGATTATAGGCGTGAGCCACCTCGCCCAGCCTGATGTATACATTTCTAGATGACATGAGATATTTCGATACACACCTGCAATGCATAATCACATCAGGTTAAATGAGGTATCCATCCCCTCGAGCATTTATCCTTTCTGTTACAAACAATCTATTTTACTCTTAGTTATTTCATTTTTTAGTTTATTATCGAGTTGGAGCTTCACTGTGTTGCCCCAGCTGCAGTGCAGTGGCTTGATTGTGGCTCACTGTAACCTGTCTCCCGGGTTCAAAGTGATTCTCCTGCCTCAGTAGCTGAGATTACAGGTGTGTGCTACCACACCTAATTTTTTTTATTTTTAGTAGAAGTGGGGTTTCACCATGTTGCCCAGGCTGGTCTTGAACTCCTGACCTCTGGTGATCCTTCTGCCTCGGCCTCCCAAAGTGCTGGAATTACAGGCGTGAGCCACTGCATCCGGCCTCTTTTAGTTAAAGTGTACAATCAAATTATTATCGACCATTGTCACGCTGTTGTGCTATCAAATAGGTATTATTCATTCTTTCTATTGTTTTGTACCCATTAACCATCCCCATTTCCCCTCACCCACTATTCTTCCTAGCCTCTAGTAACCATCCTTCTACTCTATATGTCCATGAGTTCAATTGTTTTAATTTTTAGCTTCCACAAATAAGTGAGAACATGTAAAGTGTATCTTTCTGTGCCTGGCTTATTTCACTTAACAAAATGACCTCCGGTTCCATCCATGTTGTTGAAAATGAAAGGACCTCATGCTTTTTTATGGCAGCATAGTACTCCATTGTGTATATATACCACATTTTCTTTATCCATTCATCTGTTGGGTGGGTGTCTGAGGCCTGGCCAATGAATACATTCCAGTCTCTTGGCTACCATGATTGGGTTAGAAATGCACATAGCACCCCATGCTGGGTACTTGAGAGCTGGAGCCATCGGGAGATTCTGCAGGGTTTGCTACACGGTAGAACATAAGTCTAAAGGTATTGGTGGCTTTTCTTGCCACTCCATTGGAGAATCAAGGTAACATGGCAGAGCCAATAGGCAGAAGTGGAGACCTGGTGATGGTACCTAGTCCCAGGCCTGGATCAGTCATGCCTGGGACATCCCATGGATATGAAAATAAATACATAAGCTAATGAACTCCCTCTGACCTTCCCTTTTCCTTAAGCTTGTGTAAACTGAGGTTTTGTGGCTTTAAACCACAGCCCTACTTTCTTTTTCTTTTTCTTTTTTTTTTTTTTTTGAGACCGAGTCTCGCTCTGTCACCCAGGCTGGAGTGCAGTGGCACAATCTTGGCTCACTACAACCACCACCTCCTTGATTCAATTGATTCTCATGCCTCAGGCTCCTGAGTAGCTGGGACTACAGGCACACACCACCACGCCCAGCAAACGTTTGTATTTTTAGTAGAGACAGGGTTTCACCATATTGGCCAGGATGGTCTCGAACTCCTAACCTTGTGATCCGCCTGCCTTGGCCTCCCAAAGTGCTGGGATTACAGGAGTGAGCCACCGCACTCGGTCCAGAGCCCTAGTTTCAAATCATCATTCCTCTACTTGGTTTTTTACTCTTCTATATTTTGTTTTTGGCAGATAGGAGAAAATTGGATATTCCAACAACAATATGGCCCATCTTCCCTAAACCACCACTGTTTTCCCCACTGTTTCTATCAAAGTTTGTTCTGCATTGTCGTGAGATGAACTTCGGCTCTGCACTTCCAAGCTGTGTGGCCCTGAGGCCATCATTCCCTTCTCCTAGCCTTAGTTTCCTTCATCTTTAAAATGGGCTGTTAGACTCCATCATTGGGTGGGCACATTGGCTCAAGCCTGTAATCCCAGCACTTTGGGAGTCTGAGTCAGGAAGATCACTTGAGCCTAGGAGTTTAAGACCAGCGTTGGGAACACAGTGAGACTTTATTTAAAAAAAGAAAAAAGAATCCACCACTGTGTCCTATTGTGAGAATCCAATGAAGATATGTGTGCAAGTGTCTGCCACAGTGCCTGGCACGTGCGTAGAACCCCAGAGTGTAAATGGCCCTGGTATTGTTTCTATGCTGTGTTTCAAAAAGCTGACTTATGTCAACTGTGGGACCCCACCCTTTCAGCAATTACAGAATAACCTGTGGAATTTCCCCTTAGTTACAAAGGTTACTCTTTTAAAAACTCTGTCCTTAGTAAGGCACTGTGGCTCACTCATACCTGTAATCCCAGCATTTTGGGAGGCTGATGGGTATGGATCACTTGAGGTCAGGCATTCGAGACCAGCCTGACCAACATGGTAAAACCCTGTTTCTACCAAAAATACAAAAATTAGCTGGGTGTGGTGGTTCATGCCTGTAATCCCAGCTACTTGGGAGGTGGAGGCAGGAGAATCGCTTGAACCCAGGAGGTGGAGGTTGCAGTGAGCCAAGATCGTGCCACTGCACTCCAGCCTGGGTGACAGAGCAAGCCTCTGTCTCAGAATAAATAATTAAATAAACAAACAAACAAGAAATAAAAACTTTGTCCTTAAGGACAGGATGATGTTTCTCTACCTTCTTCTTTAGGGGCAGGATGGAGTAACCACTGGACTGCAGAAATGATCTGTGAGTCCAGATGTGGTGGCTCACACCTATAATCCCAGCACTTTAGGAGCCTGAGGTCGGAGGATTGCTCGAAACCAGGAGTTCAAGATCAGCCTGGGCAACAAAGAACAACCTTTTCTCCACAAAAATAAAACAATAAAGTAAAACACCTGCAACCTGCTGCAGCCTGGTCATTCGTGTCAAGATAATCCTTCTCCCTGAAGCCTTGGCAAAGCACTCTGTCAAGGCCAGTGCCCCTCAACAGGTGGGCAATTTTGTCCTGCCCGCCCCCAGGGACACTTGGTAATATCCGGAGACAATTTGGGTTACCGTAATTGGATGGCATGCTACTGGCATCTGTGGGTGGAAGTCAGGGATGCTGTTTCACACCCTCCAGCAAACAGAACACCCCTGTCCTCCCAAGAATTATCTAGCCACAAATTACTAAAGCTGAGGTTGAGAAAAGTTGGTCTAGACCACGTTTTTCTCTTTACAGAGAAAATGACCCATCATGTCTCCTAATATAGAAATGCTGCTTCCAGCCAGGTGCAGTGATTCACACCTATAATCTCAGCACTTTGGGAGGGCGAGGCAGGCGAGTCACTTGAGGTCAGGAGTTTGCGAGCAGCCTGGCCAAAATGGTGAAACCCCATCTCACTAAAATTACAAAAATTAGCCTCGTGTAGTTGCAAGTGTCTCTAATTCCTGCTACACAGGAGGCCGAGGCAGGAGAATCGCTTGAAT